AATTAAACGTAGCCAAAGCCCTAGAGCTGATTGCGTTACATCTTATGGAAATGAGTCGAAAGCCGTCTCCAGCACGACTCTACTAGGGGAGACGTGGCTTTTTTGTGCCCAGGGAATAATGAGGTTTTCCGGCATGGAGGCACACCGGTTTCCATGGTGATCTCTGGTCAGACACGCCGGACACTTTTACACCAGCGCAAAAGATAAGAACAAGCAAAAAGGAAAAAAGTAAAGGTGAGAATGTGTGAGGAGGAGAGGACACATTAGGATCCTAGAGAGATGTGACATGGAGAGGACCAGTCATGGAGTTTCAGGTGGCACAAGAAAAAGTTTGTGATTAAGAGGCTTCTTCACATGTTTCTGGAGCTGACACTAAAGATTAAAACAATTATTTATATTGTTGGCCTTCACTTTATAAATACATTGAATGTAATTTCTATAAATCTAACCAAATGTATTTAAAATTAATTGAGAAAGTACAACAACAACAAAATGATAAGATAAAGATTGTATGGCTAAAGACAGGGTGGCCTAACTTACAAGTAAAAAATAGATTCAATTCAATTCAATGTTTTTGCTAAATCACAGCCGCAGGACTTTACAAAGTTGTCGATTCGCCTACACAGATCAGAGAATCAAACAGTTTAAACACAGGAAATGCAATAATAACAAACACATAGGAGCCATTGGTCCATAGGGAGTGGGACAAACCATGTCCATAAACAGATCCTATGTCTTTTGACAATTGTATATATGAAATTGAAGTAGAACAAAGCTTATTAGGTTATTATTGTTATTAAATAGTTTTAGATAATTTTAGAATAATTTCTAAGAGATTCGCAGAGTTGTGGCTGTGTCTGCAACTTTCCCAAAACTTGCCCCATTGTTTTTTTCAACAACCCACCACTTCAATTAACCAAACAGGGGCAATTTATTGTTTCAGATCACCCCATTTTCACTCACATGTGACAATGAGGAGATAGATAATGACAGCCAACCATGTACATGTGTTCAAAAGGAAACGGTAAGAGGGACCTCAGTGCTACGGACATAGAATTTCTGACTTCCCAAATTGAGACAGTGAGGAAATAAATAGATCCCATTTCTTTTGACAATTGTCAAGATTAGAATCAATCAGAATGAAGAAGAAAAAGCAATTTAAGATTATATTGCAGTTAAACAGTTTTAGATATTTCATAGCGATTCATAAAGAGTAGGTTGATCATCCGAACCTTTCATGAAACATGTCCCATTGTTTTTGCAACAACCCACCACTTCAATTTATCAAACAGGGACGATTTCTAGTTTTAAGATCAACACATTCTCTCACATATAACAAGGAGCACACAGACGCCTTACATAACAAAGCAATTATTGGTCGTATATTCTGAAAAGCCGCATAACTGGAGGCGAACACGGAGCAGATGAAGCAAAAAGCCAGGAGAATATAGAGGTTAAAGAGCGGTAAACTCCACTGTGGCATCTTCAATTTGTTGTGATCCTTGAGCTCATACGGGTGACGCTTGGGCAGGGGACAGAGAAATGCCAGCTCCGTTCACATTTGGCTCGGGGCTAAACAGCTGAAAGTGGAGCAACACAGCGTGGCTTTTTGGGAGTTTCGTAATGATAACTGGGGCTCTGATGCATATTTCATTAGAAAGTTCTTTTTAAGTGCGTTTCCCAGACAGGAGGGGTGATCGCCTCTCATGCTTATCGTCAAATGGTGTGGGGAAAGTTTAAAGTGTGAGGGTAAAAGAGAGAATATGGCAATATATGGGTTTTAAGTGGGAAAGGAGATAAATAAGACAAAAGAAAAACAAGATACATTTTTTACAATCCTCTTTGAATTCTCTGACTCATTTCATTCAACACACAAACAGAGAGAAAGAGAGAGACAGAGATCAGATAGAGAGAGGGAAGCCATAGAGAGAGATCAGAGAGAGACAGACCAGAGACAGACCAGAGGGTGACCAGATGGAGAAACAAAAAAACAGTATAAATAAATTAATACATATAATTTCAAAAAAACTGGGAATGTTTATACAGCATATAGATCTCGTGGGTATAGTCGAGTGCAAAAATGGGAGAAACTTGAACTTAAAAAAAAAATCACAATCCACACAAACGAATGCACATTTGACGGTTACTCAGGTCGAATGCCATTTGCATCCACTAAAAACTACAAACATATTTCAGAGTAACAGATTTCATCCATCGTTCATAGACACCGAAATCTAAACATTTTGAAAGCACAAACTGAAATCGCTTCGAACGGGCGGCTGGTAAAAGCATTCTCATTACAAATGTACCTCTCGTGGCCAAACGCTTGGAGTGAAGGTGAATTATCAGAGAAACTTGCTAACTACACGCACCGCTGCTCACGTCCGCGACAGATCCAAACTGTGGCCAAACACCAGCGGATTTATATCATTGTAATTAACGAGCTTCAGCCGGTGATTTATTGCTAATAGCAGCAGTGTTCCTGGCCCCGGTGTAAGAGCTGAGTCAAACAAATGCAAAGTGCTGAGTGTGGATGCTCTCGCCGTCGGCTCTGAACGTGTCACGCTGCTACATTTATGTCCGTTTGGTTCAAAATAATGTCTTTAGTTTTCAGTGTTGTCCGCTGAAGCCGGCGGGTTTCACAGCAACATGTGGATTGGTTCAACATATTTTTGACTTTTGAGGAGGAGATTTTTACAACATAATACATGGTTGCTAGCTAGGATGGTTTAAGAATGTATGTAGGACAGTAAATTGTAAGCTAGTTAGTATCAATACAATCAACATGTATTATAGATCGACTGAGAAGGGTTGTTTTATAAGCCTGCAAATAAACATGGGTAAGGGGCTAATGCTAAAACAATTTAAGGATATTTCTTAAAGCTTTTTTGGCTTGCGATGGGAATAGTTTTATTTTGAAGGAGAGAAGGAGATGAAAACGTGGAATATATGCAGTGTTTTCTTTGTGGATAGTTTGGGTATTCTTGTTTTGGAGGTTTTGATAAACAAAAATCAGATATGTTTGGATAGAAACAGAACTTGACTGTCGACTGCACTGCAAAAAGTGATTACTAAAAATGATAATATCTTAATTTGAAGACATTTTGACGGCTAAAACAAGATTTGCCAATGGGACAATTTCTTGTATCTTTTCTCATACCTTGGAATGAGAAAATAAAGCAAAAGTTCTGGAAGACTAAATGGCTTTTTCCCATTGACCAATCTTGTTTTAACAGTCAGAATGTTTTCAGATTGAGGTAAAAATCACTCGATTCAAGCGCTCATTACTTCATACTGTATTTTATCACTGTGATTTACAGCCATTTTTATGTAATCATCAATAACTAATTATGTTTCGAGATTGGTGTTTCAAATAAAGTAAATGATGCAGTTATTTTTCCTGAGAAAATTACCTTTAAAATGTGGTCTAAACATGCCATGATAGTGTATATTTCACAAACCAACCTGATATATTGGCCAACCAGTAAAACAAAACTTAATCCAGTTGCACTTTCTTGCACAGACTGCCAAAATGTACCAATAAGGCTCAAAACAACATATGCTCTCATTTGAATATGACACTGTTGCTTCAAACCTATGGAGCAGAGCTAGCAGAGTGTACAGGCAATAGATTTGGAAATACGTGTTTGCATTTCTTTAAAGAAGCTATAGCCGACTGATTTTCTAATGAGTTCTTAGAAATGCGTTTTACATACAAGTTAAAATCCGTAATTTAATTGACAACTTGAGCTCATTGATTCAGCTTGTGTATGAATTTAGGCCGTAAAAAGTGCTGAGTAGAGACTTAGCGGGACGCTCGTTCTCTTCCACGCACAGAACGAGGCTGCGTCCTCTAGCCTCTACAGCGCTGGTGGTAAACACAGCAGCATATTAGCAAAAAGTGGCTACTTCCATTGTAACTACATACACAGCAAAACAGCCCAAACGACTCAACAATGAGGAAGAGAAGAGGGAACTAAAGCGAAAAAAGGATCAAAGAAGAAATCAAGCCCGGGTGAAAATACGTAGCGTTAGCTTACCGCTAGCTTACATAGTATCCTCTGGAGAGACCAGCGGGAGAGGGACTGCCTCGGACTATCTATAATCGAACATTTGGAAGCAAAACTAGCGGTAATCTTTCAGTTTTATATTTTGTTGGCAAAGGTTTGCTTGTGTACCGTTTCACCAGTGATTGTTTACAAGAAGTTACGCTAATGCTAACGTTAGCATACGTATCAGATTGCAAAATAAAAGATGGCTGTGTGGGATAAGAGCGTAGGGGAAATGAGAAGCCTGTGAGCGTGTTGGGAGGCGGTGCTAAACATTCAAACCTTGCAGAAACGGGTATAGCTCCTTTAAGTACATTATTATTATTACATGGCATGCTTTTCTATACAGTCCAATACAGTAAGAGCACGCTATGTACTGTACACAAATCCATGTCACCTTTCATGACGCCGGCGACATTACACAGGAGGAGATTAACCACACTCCACACTTTACTTAATCTGAATTTCACTTAAACATAGCCGTCAGATGTGCGCGGGCGTGGGATTACAACCTGCGTAATCCACTATTATGCAGACTAGAAACACACAGCGAAAAATAACTAAAGCAAAAAAAATCCCATGAGTCAATTCTTTCAAACGATGTCACGTACTTGAAATAGACAAGTTAAAGATTATATAAAAACAAAAAAAACATGGGATTTGAGCTTGGCACCAATAGTGAAGAGTCTAAAGTGGAGGATTTTGCATTGAGGGAACAAGGAGGTAGGGGTGGGTATAGGGGACAAAAAGTAGGTCGCAGAGGCCTAGACAGTAGCAGTGCAGCTAACAGATGCAGATAGCAGGAGTCAAGTGGGTCCATTGATGATTAATTTGGTATACAGGGTCATGTTGCAGTCAAAACATTTCGGGATTAAAAAGAGAGACGCCAAGGAGAGCAGGGGATGCAACCTGGTACTTTTCTACATTGAGTACAAAGTGAACAGTGTCGAAATGTCTGTGAGGGAATGTAAGCGGCCTCTGAGCCCTGACAAGACGCCTTTAGTTCAGATGTCAGAACTGAAAAGAGTTTATTGAAGAGTTTCCCAGAAGTCAATAATAAATGTTTGAAATGATCTATTTCCTATTAGATAATTTACATTATACAGTGCAAGCTTAGTTCACTACATTCGATTTTTAACAAAGAAATTACACTATTTTGGATTTAATTTAACTTTGTTGGACATGTGACATATGCAGTGATGTGAGGTGACAAAAATGCTAAAAAAAAAAAAACAGTCTTCCTGAAAATGTGAGACAGACTTCTACTCTAACCATGTTCAAATCCAGGTTACAGTAACTTATATTTAACTGTGCAAATATTGAACATCAAGATATTTATAAACACATTTGGACATTAATTAACCCGCTATCCTATGGACCAATGACTCCTGTGTAAACTTATCGTATTTGTTGGAATACAGTTGAATACAGGCTCAAGATGGTGCTATGAGCAAAGGGTGGCAGCTCTCCTTGTCACCCCCTCGACCCAGAAATGGACTAATAAAGGGGTAGACAATGAATGAATGAATATGTTCAAATTGTGAGAGAAATTAGTTCCTTCCAGTTATATTTTTCAAGTATTTTTCTGACATTTTGGAAGTCCTGCCTGTATTTTGACTTTTGTGCTTTACATTGAATGCCAGCCTATTTCAGAACAGGTACTCCCACAGTGCCAGCCATTTATGATGATTTTTACTGATTTTTCAAGACCCACAGAATATTGTGTACTATGACTATCTGAAATCCGATCAGATTCTAAAAGAATGGACTGTCTACTTTCCTCAGCAAAAAGAATTTTGTTTATAGCTTTTTTCGTTCCCCTGTAATCCTCCGTTGAGTAGAGGGAAGTTTTACTGAAATCACCAGAAATCACCAGAAAGTTGAGAAAAAAGAGGCACAACATGTGCACCTAACTGTTTTCAAACCATTCAGAGAGCAATGCTGCCACCTGCTGGCTCGATAAAATATGGTCTCAAGTCATCCCCATACATATTAGATACAATAGACATCTGGGAACGTGAAAATAGCGAAAAAGGCATTTGACGTATTTGTGCGTCAATGGGACACAATGAGTTAAGTATCAAAACTGTGCTTGAGGATCCACAGACAAATCAGCTCTTAAACAGTCCGAACAACCACTTTTATAACCTCAAATACTGTATGTCTAAACCTTTTCTTTTCCTTTCCTTTCTACAGTGTGGAGCTGGACTTCAAGCTGCAAGAGGACAAGCTGCAGCCCTTGATGAAGCGCCTGTGTCCCACCGGGGACTCCCACCTCCCTGCTCTGCCTTACAGCCAGGACACACTCTACTCCTCCACCCCCAAACGCAAGTCCAAAGCCGAGTCCAAGAAGCACGCGCGCTGGAGACTGTGGTTCCTCTGATCTAGTGTCTGTTCCAAATAACCGCCATCACGTCATGTCCACGATATGAGCTCTACTCCCGCCGCGAAACCAACCGACTGCAAGCGCTGGAGAATATGGTTTATCTGATTCAACCATCACCGATCACTATACACTGCAAAAATATTATCTAACTTCAAATGACTTGAACTACAAATAATAATCTTAATAAGAAAATATGTTGGTTTAAATCAGGGAAGGAGGACAACGATTTAACAATGGAATGCCAAACGAGTTTCTGTCTTGTTTTGTCCTGTTTCAATATTTAATTAGGTGGTAGGGACCGATTGAGTTAGATCTATGGAAGTGTGCTTGATTTAGTTTCTGTTTTACCATGAACGTCAAAGATATTCAACAACAAAATCAGATCAGCCTCAAACACTTGGACAAAGCATGAATAATTCCTAATTATGAAATATTATTTATACAATCGTACAATTGTATGTTTATCATCTCTTTCATAGTTCTCAATAATAGATGTGTGGATTGTAATACAGAAGTGAGATCTATAGATCCTGAGCTTTGAATTGAGGTATAACAAATCTATTTTGGGTTTTACAAATTAAGTCGGTGGATGGGTGGGCGCTTTGACATTCAACTTATTTTTTTATTGACAAAAATACAACATGGGAAAAAAATGGGAAGAATTGGAAATACAGATTGATTGTGATACAAGACTTCACAAACTTGTATTAACCAGTGCCAGTTTTTTAAAAGTTGTATCTTCCCAGTCAATGGAAACTAAATTGCTTGCTAAATTGGTACAAAATTGTGCTTGGCTCATTAGCATCTTTATTGTGTCATCTAAAACCAAATTGCTTTGATAATGTAATGAAACAAAGTTAACGATTCTTCTTCACGGCGGGATATCAGAGTCAAAGCTCGTTCAATCTAAATAAATACTCTAAATTCAAGTCATTTCAACCACAGCTAGATGTCAATTTTTGCAGTGTTTTAAACCATCGTCAATACACGATCACTTTTCTCACGTCTCGATGGCTTTTTTCCTGGAGCGGCTGGAGCCTGAACTACTAAAGGGATATTTTAACATGGCCAGTGTGGAGGATTTCTAACGTTACGCTCACCAAAAAATGGATTTAGGATTTACTTTGCGTTTCATTTCTTCAAACGAACTGTGAAAACACACCAGGAAAACATAACTGGAAGATCAGCAAGGTGCAAAAAGACAAATTTGTTCTATTTGCATATATTTTTATAGCTTCTACGAGAGATACTGAGCATTATTCAAAGACTGACAAATTTCTATTCACCAGATTAGACCTCCTGTTTTGTGTTTTTATTTTTTGCCAAACCTCCCGGAGAGGAAAAAGGCAAAATGTTCAACAATAAGCCACAAAGCACAACCAACACTGTTCAGGATTTTAAGACGATTTAACTTGGGAATCCCGACCACGACAAATATGAAGACTTTCGTAAAAAGTGAAGAAACGTGTGGATTGAAAAAAAAAGAAAAAAGGAAATATTTATTGGACTTTATGATCTATTTCTAACCACGGTTATAAATGTCTCCTTGAAATAACTTTGGAGTAAAGAATGAATAAAATATACTTATTTTCTTATCAACATTTGAAAAGCCAGTTGTGAATGTACTTTTTTTCTACACACAGACGCACACATTACGTTTTAATAGAACTGGAAGCAAAGAGGGAGATAAAAATACAATGGAAGGTCAATGAAAATTTTACATTTATCTGAAGCATCCCAAAAAGAAGCAACCACAAGGCTGTAGAAAAAGTGTCAAGGAGCAACACATTTTTCACAGTAATTAAAGAAATAAAATGGACATATTAACTATTTATTAATGTGAAACGGACACAAGATGGATTCTTGAACTTTATCAGACAGACAAGGGCGTAGGTTTGCGTGGGGACCATGGGGACATGTCCCCACCAATATTTGGTGAGGACTAAAAAGTCCCCACCAAAATGACATGATGTCCCGTGACCCGGACGGTCCGGGACACATGTCTTCCGTTTGTGCACACGTCGCGCCTCCTCCTCGTCTCCAGAGCAACAGCAGCAGCAGCAGCACGTGACCCGTTCCGTTCTCTGCAGTGATTGGCTGTCTTCTTCAGCGCCAAACTGAAGCACTGAGCAACTGTTTAATTTTTAAAAGTTAGCCAGCGTGAAGCAAGTGTTTTTTTTTCGTTCCCTGAGCGTTGTAGCACGTGAGTAATCAGAGGAAAGTACTGTAGATCTATTACCATTCAAAGTACTTACGTTATTTCTAATCTGTCAGCGCACTGTTTAATGTTCCGAGGAGCTCACACGGCACAGAGACAGAACAGAACTGGCTCCAATAAAGAAACAGGTTGGTTGAAAGGCTGAAAAAATACTTATTGTGCTCTTACTATCCAAAATGTATAAGTGGGTGTGTTGTGTGAATCAGGATAAACTAGGGATGAAAATATTCCACGGATCCACAATTTACAACCTTTATCTGCTGATAATGTAATTTCTGTGAAATGTGTGACAGCGGGCACTTGCTGTTATTTGCTCTAAGCACATTCAAGCAATGCACTCGAATGTGCACGTCCTGGTGCAGCTGCTGCCGCTTTGTAATGACAGCCGCGGCGCTCAGTGAAAGCACAGCTCTAACATGGTACCGAGCTCGGACCATATGCAGACAGAACCATGTTGCAAGTGCGGGTCTCCCTCGTATCTCCCCCGTTTCTCCCCTGTGTCTCTGACATGTCTCTCCCCTGACACTTCCCAAAGCGCAACCAACGCTCCCGAAATTAAAGCTCGGATACGTAAATTTTCCATTGCGTTAACGATGCATGCTGGTTGTGCGCAAAACACACCACAACAGGTCATTTAAGTTTTTATTTTGCATACTTGAGAGCCCTGTGAGTCATTACTTGCCTTTTTGGGTTGAGAGTGGAATAAAAAAAAAGAAAATATAGAAAAATCCACACTGTTACTTATTGCCAAACTCTTGTTAACTCATTGTATTGAGAAATACTATGTAACTTTTGACATTGGCCAAGTTATATAAATTATTCTGCAGTTCATGTATATGAATGTCTGTTTTTGATTTTCTATACCTTCTTATATAATTTAGAAAAAATGCCACCTCCACAAAAAAAGATAAAAGATATCAGGAGCTTTTTTAACAGTTGGAAAGTAAGTAAGAGAAAGCACAAGTAATAGCAAATTATGAATTGTGATGATTAATCTTCTGTTAACATACATAGGAAACTCAACCAACAAGAGAGAACAATATAGGGAATGTTGAGGTAGAAGCAACAGGCCCTTCAGTGCATCAGGTGAGGTTGGAATTTTGTAGGTATGCATGGGACTATGAATTGTTTTTAGAGATTGATCGTATATGTCAAACAATGTAGTGAGCTACTCACTGTAGATTCTAATTCAATATTTTCTCCTCTGTTTTTATTTATTATAGGAAATTGAAAGATCAGAGCATGATTTATTTCAAGTATCGAGAGCAGTTCCTGAACTGTTAGAGCCTCAGGTGAGGGCTATTATGTAGATTTGGATTAGGTTTAAGTCAGTATAGAATGAACGCAACACAAAACTCAGAAGCTCTGATCCAATTGATTTTGTTTTAACTATTAGAAAAAATCCTTAACTGCTTCTCATTCAGTCTACAGCTGAGTTTAGTGTAGAAGGCAACACACTATTGCAAATATAGTGTGTGATTACACAACAAATTCTGGGGGAGAAACTCTGGACCCCGTGTCAATGGGTGTAGACTCAGGTCGTAGTGAATGTCCCCACCAAGATTGGAACCAAACCTACACCATTGCAGACAGAAGTATAGTGAACTCAATATCTGAAATAAATAAAAATGTAGGGAGAAGTTACAATAACAAATCAATTGCTTCATAGTATATACCATTCTATAAATAAAAGCTACAACAACATAAAATAAAGTATTGTGAGGTCCAAGAGCACTATATTTTCAAAGTTGAATGAAACATGTTGAATATTCTCTTGAGGTTTTTCTACAAGTTGATAACTTTTCATACCTGACAGTTTGGACGGCTGACGTGTCTTGTCAACCATTTTCCACCGGTCCTCAAAAGGAACCCAAACACACTAGACTCCAGCCATTTCAATGGGTTAAAACTGGACTCACCTGATACTTGAGGAAATGGGTGGAGTCTAGTATTGCTCCTGCTTGGTTGGATTGAAATCCTGCAGCCAGACCACCCTTTGAGGACTTTCGCTATAGAAGGATACAAAAGACAGTGGTACGGCTAAAAATGTATCTGCTTGTTTCTGGGATTGAATTTTAGCCTTGTTATGCAATATTACAACTTATTACAATCTGTCGCGGTAGCTTTAAATATAGAGTATCACTTGTTGTTGAAAATGGCCTAATTAGGTTCAATTTGAGATTAGAGTGTCAAATTATTCCATCCACTTGTACATGCGGAATCCTCCAGCATAAAAACCAATGCCTGAGTATACTATAAAGCCGTTTCAACAAGCCTTCTAAATTGTTTATACGTTCACAGTGGCCATCCTTTATTCTTTTCATTCACACTTCACACGGGGCAGAAGGTCGCAATTGCTATATGCAAATAACAGAGTTCTTGCACCCGAAAAATAAATGCTGGAGGTGAGGTTAGATATGCTGCAAAAATCTGGCTTTGATGGCACGCGACGAGAGCGGAATACGGGAATCAAAAAGTGGAGCGTCTTTCATGGAACCGGCTTTTGATCCTGTGGTTACACTCTCACACAATCGGAAATAAATATTGGCTTCGCTCTGTTTTTGAAAAGCGCATGAGGCCCGTGAAGAGTTTGTGAATTCATTGGTCTGAAATGAGAAGAGGTGAGCTCAGGACAAGGTAGGATGGTGTTGGCGCGGACTCGCACACACACGGTGCACGCACAGACACACACACACAACCACGGACACACACACACACACACACACACAGACAGACACACTGAACCACGGACACACACACACTCAGGTCCAAAGGGATA